TTGGTTCTGTTGTTCCAGATTAATAAATACTTTTGATAGGCCTTCACAATGCAGTCGTTAGCACCCACTAAATAGAGATTCTATTTCTATTTTGTTGGTAGATTTTCTTAATGTGCGGTAAACACAAAAGTAACAGCATGAAGTTGGTCGCTAAAGCGACCAACTTCATGCTGTTAAAATTTTGTGTTACAGTGATGCGCGCGCATCTTAAAATTTAACTCTCATCATTTTTTCATAACGCGCCTAAAGAAGTATAACTTCAAAATAAAATCATTAACCAATAACAAATTAATCAGCACTCAATTACAGCCAATCGACATCATTTAAAGGGATGCAAAAAGAGCGCAACGTTCTCAAGCAAGAATCCATTTCATCGTTCTAATAAGGATGCACAGTATTAACCCTGAGTCAGGGTCCATGACAGTAGGCAGTTAAGGGTATACGTCATCTCTTTACAAGCAGTTTGTATTCAGAATGCAGTTAGGCGCTAGCGCAAGCTTGGTACGAGATACTGGCTGCCACTGGCGGGTGTGTTACGAAGAGTCTACTGCAAATAATGCATATTACGCACAGAGCATAGAAAGAGGTTACCTTTTTACTTTACCGGCTTGGAAAATGGAAAATTCATATTTCGAAATGGTTCGAACGCAGCCTGACCTGACGATCTTTTGGGTGAACTTTTTCAAAATTCGAAGTACCGGTGGGTGAGAAACTAGGATTCTCATGGACTTACACTTACTGCTCGTTCCCACTTGTCGGGTGTCGGATCCGTATATTAATCGGAGGTTCCAGTGGCAGATCATTTTATATGACGCTATTCACACTTATCGGAAACCGATTTTGTGTCGGCTCCGACAAGAAATGTCGGGTGTTTTGCCAGCCCTCTACGCCCGGAAAAAAATCGTGTCGGATGTCGCTCGCCTATGATTAAGAATGGCGCTGTCCACATTTGTCGGATGTCGGGGCCGATAACCCTCTTCCCGCTTTGTATTTTGGTAGTTTATGCTCACTGATATTTGAGCCAATAGATGGTTGAATGTACTTATCGACATTCTAAAATAATTGAAAAACTTAATTTCGTCACTTCTCAATTCAGTTATTAAGTTCTGAAATGTTCCCAAACTAAATGTTTCCCTTAGGATTGGGTGCACCCAGTATTTTCTTTCCTTCGCTGTCATTCCTAGTTTTTTCTTAAATAATAATACATCACAACAACAACTTCGTCAACGTCCATCGTGAATCGCCGCCTCGCGTAGAGTGCCTAAAATTGGTGAAAGCTTCAACCGCGACCGACAACCGATTATTAATCGTGTGTGTGAATAAAAGGCACCTACATCCGATTAATATACGGATCCGACACCCGACCAGTGGGAAGCAGCTCAGTATTTTCTTTATCTATGAGGATTTCCAATTCTAGTGATTCTACTGCAAATAATGAATGTAACCTTTTTATTTCAACGGACCTGGAAAATGGAAAATTCAAAGTTCGAACACGTTCCTTCTTTGAGCTAAATCGTAGTTGCCGTACTGGCCGCATGCATGCGAGCGCAGCGGCCGGCAAAAAGTTGTATCAAAATCAATATCTGTCGTGTTTTGCGGCAAAAAAAAATACATAATAAAATCAAATCTGTCGTGTAATTTGAAAATGGTATTAACACTCTTTTACTCCGAAACATGGCATTCAAGGAGGTAGCTTATTCAAGGTTTTATTTAAATTTCGAATTGGCTAGCAAATAGAAAGCTCTTTATTAAACCAAAAAAACAAATGAACACTTTAACGTGAGAAAAAATATTCTTGTTCGTTGTTCGTCATTGATTATGAAAAGTTATTATTTAGTTTTAATTTCTTCGTATTATTTGAGAAAAACATACTATACAAGCCTTGGCCACAACGAGCCATTAATGGACTTACGTATTTACACGTTCGTCCATCACAACTAAGAATAAATATCTTTGGGTAATAAATTATATTAATATGTGAATGACACTCTCCCATGATAAAAGAAGAGTTACTAAGGACTAGTTACAATATTCTGTATCAATTGATATTGAGGAGGGAAATGATCAAATAACGCTTACTTAAATTCTTCATTTATGTAAACTTTTACGGTCACGGGAAAGTGAGACTTTCGTCATAATAACATACTTATGTTCAAATAAGTATATTATGTTTAAAAAAGCTACGACCGGACATGATCCTGTTAGACCAATTTGAGCGCTCCAAGGTGCTTGCGCTTAGTTCATCCGTTCGGCTTACGCAACAATCAGCCGCTAAACCAATTAACAGCTGTATTCGGGTTAGTTAACAAATATTAACATAGTTAATGAAGTATTTACATTTCGGTAAAATGGGTTGCATGAATATTTGTATTTACTAAATGTAGGTTATTATTATTATTATACTCTCATTTATTTCATTTCACAAGTTAGGTTTTTTATAAAATATATATAAAAGTAAAATCATCATCATCATCAGCCTATTAATGTCCTCACTGCTGGGGCACAGGCCTTCCCTATGGATGGAATAGGGAGATTGGGCCATGACCCACCACGCGGGCCCAGTGCGGATTGGCGGGTGCTAACGACTGCAGATGCAGCCGGGACCAACGGCTTAACGTGCCTTCCGAAGCACGGAGGAGCTCGAGATAGTAATTTTTGGTCACCCATCCAATGACCGACCACTGCGAAAGTTGCTTAAGTTCAACGATCGCAGCCGAACGCGCTAACCACTTGCGCCATCGAGCTCCTTAAAAAAGTAAAATACAAAAACGTAAATATAAAAATAAATATATTAAGTATAAAAAACCTAACCTAGAAGGCAGCGGAGCTAGACCCAAGCTACCGGTGGTTAGGGCCGCAGAGAAAGAAACCGCCTGACGATGCGCGCCGTGTCCAGGAGTACTGCCTTTTGCATCTGCCCCTTGACCCAACCATCTAGCGAGAGGCTCTTTAGATGTTGGTCGAGACTCTTCGCTATGAGACCGTTTACGCTAACGACTATAGGGACAATGATCGTCGAATCCACATCCCACAGAGCGGTTACCTCGTGGGCCAAGTCCAGGTACTTGCTGAGCTTGTCCTTCTCGGCCTTCACGAGGTTCTCGTCATGCGGGATGGTGATATCGATGAGCACTGCCCGGCGTTTCAATCGATCTGTCAATTATTATTATTACCTAATAATATTCACCTTTAGTTTTTTTTTTTAATATTTGACGGAAACTGGAATAGTAAAGATAAAACAATCATTTAAATTAATTTACGTTATCCTCAAAAAAAATATTATACTTAATTGTTTTAAACTTGAAAAGGTATTCGTATCCTAAGTATAAGTTAGACCATGATTTGTAAAATTGAAATTCTTAAAATTACCGATTCGATAAATTTTATGACTAAATGCGCGTCTCTAGAAGAACAATTACGTAATTATTTCTTTCAAATGTAGAACTATTTTCGTATTTAGAATATGAAATTTCATGGACGCACAAACGTCAAAACGGCCATCATAGCGTGCCGCTACTATAGTTTTTACTTTTTTATAAAACTTGGGAGACGGACCCGTAATCTAAGAGTTCCGTGTTCCGTTCCACTTGATTTAACTTGAATGAAATACAGTTATTAATATATCAGTGATTATTATATTATTGTAGGTATTTATATTAAATTAGGGTTGAGAAACATCTCAAAAGTATTTTTTGTACGTACGTTACGTGTAAGTTAGATGCGCCTTGTAAAGCCAAAACTTTATTGAAATAATTTTATAAAACACACTACATCGAAATATTATTCAATATTAGTGAATACAATTAACATACAATGCAACATATTTGACATAAGAATACTATATATAAGAAAACAATTGTTTTACAAAAACCTCTAAAGTGACCCTTTTTGGGAACACAATTACGTATTTTTTTCTTATTTTATCTGGACAAAGTGGTTACCTTTATACCTATGTTTTATGAGTGCTGCTACAAATTGTCGTAACCCGAAGATTTAACTTACATTCTAAATTAATTCGTTGGTTCAATTCCAACTTCATAACTGGCACAATGTTTTTTTTCTAATAAAACTTTGCTTTCCTACCTAAGTTAAAAAAAAATACATTCTACTTCATATTATCAGAGCATTATTAAATTGCGACTTTTTCCAATGCTTTCTAGTTGTACTGACCTAAATATAGCATGTTCTTTATCATCTTCGATGTTCACGCAACCAACTGCGATCTTGTTCTTATGCAGGCTAACCTACCCACTGTTTCAATAACTGTTATTTCCTTAAGCAATAAAGAGCATTATGTAGTTAGTACATATGTAAATGCATGCAAATTTATTCTCTCGCCACGCACTACTTCGATTTTCATGGACAGATGGCTAGACCTGGAAGATGGTAGCAAAAACAAATGAGCTTGGAAATGTAGGTCGAATTAACTTGCACACGTCTTGTCTTCGTAATGAACCCATTTGGAGGCGAAATAGGTACCTAGTATTAATGTTTCTTTTGAAACACTAATGGCGACATATTCAGACGTATTGTAAAGTTAAAATGATCTTTATTATGATTTTAGACAGCAACTTAAGTTTTTAAACAGTTTATACTGTGGGGTTTTTTTGCACGTACCTACGTACGAGTGTAGCAGCTCTAAATTACAGAAAAATACCACGAAAACCAATTCAAGTTCGCTTATATAAATTCGATAAATATCATGCCGTGGGATAGGCAGTCAATAGTAGTATAGTATCAAAATTTTAATTTCTCTAAGGTTTGTGCTATAGAGAAAATTCAAGCTTGTATATTTGGATGGTCAAACATAGATTGCGCAAAACGAAAAAGGTTTGCTTTTAAAAAGTTTTTTCTGAACAGTATAATAAATCTATAGTTAATAAAAAGACTTTTAAATTATTGTCAATCTACCTATTTCGTGCGACGGCAAGACCTCTGAACACGTGCTAACAATAACAGCCATAATAAAATGTAACCCTATCCTTTTCATTTTGTTGCAGGGTTCTTGTCACGGAGGACAGCCAAAAAAGGAGACTAGCCAGATGGCGTGTTTGATACTAAAACGCCGGACGCTTTTAAAAAAATAAAATGTCGAGAAAAAAAAAACAAATTCCAAATTCAAATCATTCAAATAGTTTTAATTAGTTCGTGAAGTGCGTGACAAAAGTGATATCGATAGTGTTTTCGATAAGTTGCTTTAAAAATGGAGCAACATAATGCAAGTTTAGTGAGCATGGAGCAAAACATGACGTATTATCCGAGAGAGGCTACTATTGTAGCTGCGGTTTGTGCTTGCATCTTCAGCGTTGTTGGAGTAGTTGGTAAGTGAACCTCTTTTATTTCAATAATAAAAAAAATTGTGAGCTCTTTTTTGTGAATAACTTTAAAAACGGATGTGTATTTGATGAAAATTTGTGTGTGTCAGCTCCGACGCAAGACTCGAGTTTACTCCTTAAGTTCGATAGTCTAACCAGACGCAAATAGAGTTTATTTAACTTAAAAAAAATTGATACTTCATGAAAGGGTAAATTAACAAATTAATGAAAATAATATACATATAAATATATATTTATTCATTTCATATACTTTTATTATAACTAATCGACGAAATATTTTACATTAAACTTTTTACAATAGTCAATTTCCGATGTGCATAAATATATCATTAGGAATGTTGATAAATTATGTAATTATTATTATCAGACTATTATCATTTTTTTAAATATTAATTAAATCAACATTGTCTGCATTATTAATTACAGTGACAAGTGGTTTATGGTAACTAAAATAAGACACATGGACGTTCGTAGATACGTGGTTCACGAATCTTGAAAATACTGCATCAATGGTTGTACCATACCTCGTTGTCCCCATTGCTCTATCAGAAACAATATCTAAATTCAGTTCAGATTTTTAAAAAAATATTAATATCCATCCGTCATCTTTGTTTGTCAAAGTTGCGCGACATAGGATGCGCACCAAAAACGTAACGAGGTCATTCATCGATAGATTTTACTCCTCACATTTTTCTCATACCGGGCCCCTTATATATGCAAATCGATTCTTAAGGAGTAAACTCCAAAAACTCAGTAGCACTAACTCATTCATAATACTTATCGATATACATACTATGAAAAAAAAAGTGACAGGGCCAAAAATAGTCGTGTAACTTAACTTCATCAAGAAACTGATGTAAGACGATATACTACTTCAATATTAAATGACTATAATATAAAGTTCATTATATGAAAAATTGTCAAGGCCTCATAATACGGATATTTGATAGCGCAGAAATGTTTGTGTAACTTAAGATTAAAACTACATTAGATCTATGTGGTTTTTAATATACACGTACTCGATGTGTTTATTACTGATTAAAATATCTAGCAATTTTAACTATTATATTACCAATAGATTTATTATAACTAAAAGTACATAGAACGTATATCACAAATCACTTAAAAAAAAACAATTTACATTTAGATATTAAACTAAAACTAGACAAAAATTAAAAATATTAAAAAAATAGCTGCCCTAAGTCTTCCCCGTCGGCAAAGGTTCCCAGGACGCTGGCGGCATTTCCCCGCTGAATGGCGATTATTATTATTATTACCAATATCTTATTAATATATTTAAAATAAGTTTTAAAAGTTCATAAGTAATTTTGTAAATCCAAATGCTTTCAGCCGTTTTTGTGTCTAAGTTACAAACATACAAACTTCCACATTTATAATATTAGTACGATGATCGAAGCGTATTCGAGTTCCCTAGATGTTTATGAGGTGTATGGTGTTTATAGTATCGACTCTTCTATTCGAGGAAGGCGATGAATGTCTGTGTACGTTACCGAATGTGCCGATGACACTCAAGTGTCATAACATAACACTCATGCACTCCATGAAGTGAGCAATAAGTTTAAAGTTTGATTCCTTTCAAGCTTACGGAGCATAGTAATGTCCTAATGTGCGTCCCTAATCCCATAAAATATTTAGATACATAACATAATTTTAGTTTAATAATAATTAATGTGTAGAGATTGTATTTTAGTCAAACATTTCAGTAATTCATCGTCATCATCAGCCTATTAATGTCCCCACTGGTGGGGCACAGGCCTTCCCTATGGTTGAAATAGGGAGGTTGGGCCATGACACACCACGCGGGGCCAGTGCTGATTGGTGGGTGCTAACGACTGCAGATGCAGCCGTGACCAACGGCTTAATGTGCCTTTCGAAGCATGGTGGAACTTGAGATAGTATATTTTTGTCACCCATCCAATGACCGACCACTGCGAAAGGTGCTTAAGTTCAACTATCGCAGCCGATCGCGCTAACTACTTGCCCCATCGAGCTCCTTAGTAATTACTATTCTATAATTTGTACTAGCTCGGATTATCAATGTACAAAAGGTTGTGTAATCACAGACTTTTTAGCGTGCGTGATAAAAACATTCTCAATAATTATTAATAACTATTTCACACTTAAATTTTGTTATAGAATAAAATCGATAATTTGTAAATAGTAGATACTACTTGGAGCTCGTTGGCGCAAGTGGTTAGCGCGTTCGGCTGCGATCGTTGAAGTTAAGCACCTTTCGCAGTGGTCGGTCATTGGATGGGTGACCAAAAATTACTATCTCGAGCTCCTCTGTGCTTCGGAAGGCACGTTAGCCGTTGGTCCCGGCTGCATCTATAGTCGTTAACACCCACCAATCCGCACTGGGCCCGCGTGGTGGGTCATGGCTCAATCTCCCTATTCCATCCGTAGGGAAGGCCTGGGCCCCAGCAGTGGGGACATTAATTGATGATGATAATGATGAGATACTACTCATAAAATCTGGACGGACATCACTAAAATCCACAACATGTTTTTCTAACAAATATGGTTTTCTTAAAGCATTTTGTGTGCCTAACTAGTATCATCTATTTGGTGTGTGTTTAATTTGTAAACTTTATTTGTTTACGATCAAACGTTCATTACACCGCCTTCGCTTGAGGCGTGTTTGCGCGTGCGCAAGTCTGCCGTTCTCAAACTAAAGCGCGGCTAAATGAAATGAAATGAAATTTATTTATTCACACAAAACAGAGTTTAAACATTTTAGTGGAGATTTTCATTTAGTTCGTCCATTTTGCCAACGACAGGGCATGTGAATGTCAAACATAATATAATTCTAAAATTTAAAGGTACTTATGTCATTTTACTTATTCTATTCTATATGTCAATTTTCGTTTCTAAATATTCTCTAACTGAGTAAGTTAACTGAGTTAAATATAGGCAAACTAAGCTCCGTTATCAAGCGAGGTAACTTATTATAGATTTTTATACAATTCGGATAGCAGTTTTTATTGTAATATTGAGTACGCATATTGGACAACATCAATCTACCACGATGTCTCGCTAATCTGCAGGTATCTGTGTTTTTAAATTTAAAATTATAACTGTAAACGTTAAGACACATAACAAATATACAACATTCCAGAATAGAGCTAAATGACATGTGGTCGATTAAAAAAGAGGTCCAATGGGCACTTTTTGCTTTTGGGTCGAATCTTGAGGGTCCAATGGGTACTAGACCGATTTACCAGTCTTAAATTGCATCTTATACAGTTTTTTATTCTCTATCGATCTGTCTTTGACAAGCATTCTTATCTTTTATATTTTAAGTATAAAAATCCGTCATGTGATGAATGGTTACAAAAGAGCTATAATATAAAGTTTACGCGCCGTTTTTTGGCCATATCTCAAAAGTTGGTTTTGTCATTAGCCGCGTCTTAGCATGAGGACCGCTGTAGTACCTACTTACTAAACAAATAATGTACGCACGATGCCACGATAGTGACTATGTAGTATTTAAAATGTTTGTTTTATTCGGTGTTTATATTTATCAATAATTGAGTAATGTTTATGATTTAATTTCATAAGATACCACTTTAATTTGTTGAACAATAAACATGAACCAGTCCAGCTGTGTAACCTAGCAGTGGGAATATTATAATAATAATAAATATTTCCAACACTCACACCAATTAGCCTAGCCCCAAAGTAAGCACTATAAGGGTTGTGTTATGGGATGCTAGGGTGACGGATAGAATACATATACCTACAGTACATATATAAGTATCATCATCATCAATCTTAATGTCTCCACTGCTGGGGCACAGGCCTCCCTTATGGATGGAATAGGGAGATTGGGCCATGACCCACCACGCGGGCCCAGTCCGGATTGGCGGGTGCTAACGACTGCAGATGCAACCGGGACCAACGGCTTAACGTGCCTTCCGAAGCACGGAGGAACTCGAGATAGAAATTTTTGGTCACCCATCCAATGACCGACCACTGCAAAAGTTGCTGAACTACAACGATCGCGAACGCGCTAACCACCTGCGCCATCGAGCTCCTCCCTACATATATAAGTATATTTATATAGAAATACATATTAAACATCCATGACTGGAGTACAAATGATCGTATTCATCACACAAAAATCTGCCCCACCGGGATTCGAACCCGGGACCTCTCGAATCGGCGACACCATGAAACCCGGTACGAACCACTCGACCACGGAGGTCGTCGCCCACACGTCACACGTCAGATTAATAGGATAACTAGCAAACCAGTGAACCAAATGTTCACCAAAACCTGATTATAAAAAAAAAATGTATTTAATTAATTGAGAACTTCGGAGATTTTGTGTGGTTTCGTTTGAAATAGAAATCACGTGATTTCTCGAAAACCGGAAGTGCTACGTTACTCACATCCGGTTTGTAGTCTTATCAGACTATTCTCAACTTATAACTTAAACATTCTCTTTATCTATCTCTTACGGTTTGGCCGCTGAAACAGCACCACAGACGGTCGGACGGACGGACTTGTCTAATAGGTAAGAGATAATGAAACAAAACACTGCCGAATTATTTTTGTCTGCAATCTTTTGTGATGATTGGATTGATAGGCGATCGTCCCCATGCGAGCGAAATTAATTTCCAACTTTAGCTTATTGGGTTAGCGAACTAGGAAAGTGTTAATGACATATTTAATTATGTACCCCCCACGCCGCGACAACCGGCCAACTTGCAATTTCTATACATTCTTATTTTCATGTGCCTATCATCTAATCTAATTTTGTTCTTTAACAATAAATTATATTATTGGAAGATGATATCGGATATTGAGTAAAGAAGCTGTAAATACTTAGTCCTGTTACACAAAATAAAACTACTTCTGCATTCGGTATGATGCATTCTGTGTCTACTTATAAAATGTATTTTACGTCTTCGAACAATTTCGCAATTAAGCTGGTTCAGTCAGACTTAAGCCTCCTGCAA